TATTATTATTTCCTATCCATTTGACATATCTTAAAGTACTAACCAAACATGAGAATGATGGGACAGAACTGTACTTCAAAACAATGTCCTGACACTGCGTAGCTCTGCACCCAACTGTCCCCACAATGGATGTCTTCAGGGGCGTGCGTCTTAACACACATAGCTGTACAGATAAAGTCTTCCATGTGATTCAGCAACTCTGTACTATCAAGAGACGAAATTGTGTGGGACCCTCTCTATGTATGCATAAAGGATTATCTTTGCAGATGCTCACCTTGTATAGATAGATACCTTGAAGATGAGAAGAGCACTCCTAAATATATGCTAAGATAACACTTAAAATGGGTTGCTAAGGAATTGAAATATAGAACATACACTACTCAGCTATGGGTTAGATTCAGATCAATGTCACACTTGAAATAGACCTACTGGGATCAATAGGATTTAAGTTAATGTTAACTTGTACCACAGATTTCAGTGGATGTGCTCCAAACTTCCATCCAATCCTGTATATATTTGATATTGATGGCTAGATAGAAGAGGCTGGAGAAAGTAATTATCAGCCTCATATAAAATAACAATTTCTGTAAATAGATTACCAAGATGGGAAGGATGTTATGTGCAGTCAAGTCAGAACTGACTTACAGCAACCCTAACACAGCTTTCAAGAGAAGTGAGATATTTAAAGAGTGGTTTTACCAGTTCCACGCCCTCACTCTATACACAACACCACACTAGGTATCCAGGAAGAATATACATTAGAAATACTATGGGTAGCCCTCTTTTGTAGTTAATCTTAGGGTGTTTACTCTTTCTATTATTATAAAGCTACAGTAACATATTCATTCAGCCAGATTCTTAAGAAGATTCCCTATAGAGTAAAGCAGTTTGTTCTCTATTATACTGGTTTTCTTTCTTCTACTTCCTAAGGGACAAATTCTACAGACATGGCCAAAAGATACAGCTTCCTCTGTATGCAAGTGTGCTAGAAATGTACGATAACTAGGATCTAATGGAACTCTTCTGCTCACAGAGCTTCCTAAATTTCTGCCAATCTTTGCCACACTAAGTTTTTTTTCCCTGCTGACCTAAAAGGGGTGGATCACCACATTCCATACATTCCTCTTGGTTGCAGCTACTTGTGCCACAGTGCATACTCTTCTGATAAGCCACCTAACATGTAAGAATGGCAATGAAAACAAAAGTGTGAAAAAGCCCTGTTCAATGATAAAATGCTGCTTATAGATTTTCAGACAGTGCAATCATTATCTTTCTGAACAAAAGGAAATATTACAAATAAACAAGCACAGCATATTGAAAGCTAAAGGATATTCCTTTAGCAGGCAGCACAATTTGCACACTTTATTTGAAATGGTGCACTCTCTCTCCCATTCTGAGGGCTATTTATAATTTCTCTTCATTATATTTTGGAGCTTAACTTAGCATTGCAAGGGTGTTGCACTTCTTCTTGATTTTTTTTTCTATTACTCTTATTTTCTTTCTGTCTTCATCACTTTGTAGCTTCTTTGGTTGCCCACACATTATGATCTTAAAAAGTCCTCTGACATCCTCCTCTTGGCTTTAATTGAAGTATGGGATCCTGTAGCAGGGAGGGGACTGTTGGCTGCTAGACAGATGACGATACAATGAATGACAGGGATTCATATACGTTCAAGTTACCTTGTCAATAAGGCAAGGACTAGAATCACAAATCTCACCCACGAGAACTTCTCCAAAATTTCACTTTTTTTAAGAAGGACTTTTCTTTAAACAACAACTGAAAATTGTCATTAAAAAATTTCAGCAGAGCAGTAGCAGAAACTATATCATATCACCCAATCTTGTTCAATCTGAGGTTAAACAAACTTCTGCTTTGTTAGCACTTGGGGACCACCAAGGAACACCACAGATCTCCAGCTAAAGCTATGAATAATCTTGCTTGAAATCACTTTTCACCTAGGGTGGAAGCTCTTCAAAGCTCTGATCTCCATTTCCTAATTGTCTTCATGTGTGTTGTTAGCTATTAATTCCCCCCTTGTTCTGTTTTTTAGTGACTACTAATAAAGTTCCATAGCAAATGCTATTAGTATAATCTTGCTTGAAATCACTTTTCACCTAGGGTGGAAGCTCTTCAAAGCTCTGATCTCCATTTCCTAATTGTCTTCATGTGTGTTGTTAGCTATTAATTCCCCCCTTGTTCTGTTTTTTAGTGACTACTAATAAAGTTCCATAGCAAATGCTATTAGTACTCCGGGAGACAGTGGAAGACACGAGGGCCTGGCGTGCTCTCGTCCATGGGGTCACGAAGAGTCAGACACGACTTAACGACTAAACAAAATAAAGTTACTGGAAGCCACTATCATTCAGAGCTGAAAACACTAGCTAGCTGGACAGGTGGTCTGACTTAGTATAAGGCAACTTCCATTAGGTCTTATGGAAGTTCCTATTCACATAAAACCAGTAGCAATTACATCAGATAAAAAGACGCATCTTGAAACACAATACTGTATTGCCAGCTATGTCTCTAGCAAACAACGCCCCACAAAACCAAAGATTCTGTAAATACATACAATACTCAGAGGAGAGACAAACAAGTTTTTGCTCAGCTGAAAATATCTAGTCAAAGTTTATTCATAAACAATATGGTACCTAGAGAAACTGTTTTGCAGCTGCCTTATAAATAAAAGCAGTAAACCAAAACATCAATACGGCAAAGAAAATCTAGTTGCAAGAGCAGAGATTTAAGATTAGCAATATTTTGACACATTTTTTGAATTTATTCCCACGTTGCATTATTTACCTGCCATCCTCTGTGTGATAATTTGCACACATGACTTAAGCAAGAGCTCTTGTTGCTGATATCGTTTAGGCAATTCAGGAATGTGCAAAATTTTGACATACCTATTAAATTTGATGACTCTTTATTTACACTAGCATGCTTGGTGTTTGGCACAGTTTAAACATACAGGTTTGACAATCATGCTCATATTCTTTTAGCTATTGTGTACCATTAAAATCTACACAGGAGTACAATGCAAGAGCTTTTATGGAATGGATTTAATCATACAGATGCTAGGTTGTATTGTTTTTAATTGCAAAATGGATCAGTAGAGAATTACGGATATAAAGCTGAGTCCCAGCAAAATAAGGCTATCATGGATATATGGTTCAAGTACAGTATTTTGAGTTCAGATGAAAAGGGACATACTTAACTTGTACACTGTGTACAAAGCAAAAAAGCAATCAAGCATGGAAGACCTATTGCAAATGCAAAGAAAACAAAAAACTAATCAACCATGCAAGACGCGTTGCAAATGCAAAGAAAACAAAGCCAAAAGAAATGAAGCAGATCGTGCAAGATCGGAAATGGGGGGGGAACTAAAAAGCAAACAAACTCCCCAAGACCCATCGGAAATGGGGGGGAAACCCAAAAAATAAGAAAAAACCCCAAGACCCATCAGAAATGGGGGAAACCCCCCCAAAAAAACCAAAGAAATCCCACAAGACACATCACAGCACAGAAACATAACACCCTCAGCTCAAAACCACACTGCAAAAACACCCAGAACAGTTTTTTAAAAGCAGAAAGCACCACCTTACCTTACCAGGCAGCCTCCTCCGATCACACACTCTCTAACTGCTGGGGCAAAAAAGCTACAAAGAAGCAGCCTCGTCACCACCTACAGTAAGCAATTTGAATTTCCCACCTTTTTTCCTTGCCCTTTTCTGTTCACAACTAAAAGTTCCGGCCGCAAGTCGAAGCAAAATTTTGCGGCCGTAGCTGGTCCTAATGGTCGTAGGTCAGGACGTTCGTAAATCGAGGCACCACTTTATACTGTATACATAATAGTACTAAACAAACCATGATTACTACTCTTCTTGGGTTGATAGGTCCGAAAAATGGCTGTAGTGTTGTAGAATTTGTGATAAATTTCTCTAACAAGGTAATTGTA